GAGGGACAGCTTTCCTGGAAAGAGTGGGGAGGGTGGGTGGAGTCACCTTATGTCAAATCTTACTGATTTGTTAAGGCTAATGCCAAAGTCTCATGACTGGAGTAATGAGGAATTTCAGAAAGGACAGTCAAAACTCCCACGTGTACCTTTACTATCTCAAGCTAAGGCAAGCTGCTGCAAGAGGAGAGGGCAAATACTGAGTACCACCAAGAAACCCGAAGTGAATGAGGAGCTTCATTAACTGCACTCAGGATTTCATTTTGACCCCTGGAAGAACTGTGAATTCTTTTAAGTAAAGAGCACTTTAGTCTCTCAGTAAAGTGAACTTTTCTCTCTATACCCAGGTATTGTCCACATCTGGGACAAAAGTTAAACTCTCGGGTTATTTATTGCACATCCATTGCTTCAGGGCCCAGCTGTGTTCCAGTGGATCCCTGTGAAGGAGGTTCTGCCTGTCCACAGCCAACAAAACAGGAACTGTGGTGGCTGTTGGCAGTATTGTGAGGCAAATTCACTGGCAAAATGTTGGGAGTGTCAGTTTATAACTAGCAGAGTACAATAATCTAATGACTAGGAATGCCCTCAGCCACTAGATGGTGTGTCTTGGCCGTTGAAATAAAAGAAGTTAAAAGCTGTTGAAGAGCTCAGATCTAATTATAATTCATTTTGGCCCTCTTGGTATAACCCAGACCAAAATCAGTTAAACGAGCTGTTAGCAGACCCTGCTGAACAGCTGTTTAAACTCACCTTTTAGCACACTAGTCAGAGCCCAAATCAGGGCACCCCCCACTAGAACTAGCATTTCTCTACTTCTTTGATCATGGGGCTATAGAGATATGTTTGCTCGTGCTCCTTCTCCTCAGCCAAACACATTTTACATTCTAGCTGCAAAAGGGAGCAATTCTGCATAAGGGACAGTAGCAACTCACTGGTGGCATAACCTCCTCACCTCCTTTTAATTTCACTTTCACAACAGAACAAAACTATTCCTCTTCTTTGAAAGAATGAATTATTTGACAGCATAAATGGAGGCATCTTGTCTCAGAAGAGGACTAGAGGCTGGAGGAACATCTCTACAATCTTAGAGATTGGTCCAAGGGAGGGGAAAGGGGTGTGACAAAAACTAAGATGGGCACTGTAACTGAAATCACTCTGAACTCAAGATATTTTAACTTTTTTTTTTTTATTTAATCTAGCCTATTGTTTTTATATTAGTAATAACAGGCTGCTCAAAGCACTACCCTTCAATTACATGACAGTTGCTCTATAGGATCCCGGGATCATTTGCTATTTGTGCAGGCAAGAAGCCCCAAGTGGTCAGAGGTGTGTGTAACAGTGTAAAGAGGAGGACTCCCAGTGGCTATTATTAGGTATGTGATCCAAACCTTAGGAATCCTGGCTCAGCTATCAGTTTGCAGGCCAGAGAATCACCAACGAGTAACGAGTTCTCTCAACTACTGCAATCTACATTTGCTTTGCAGTGTAGGAGTTAAGCTCTCTAAAATAATGTTGCTGGTGGACATTGCTTAAACTTGATGTCTACATCTCACCTGTCTCCTAGGCTGATGCCCTTGGTGAGGTAACAGACTGCTAAAGCAATGCCATACTTCCCTTCTTATTGAGAGATACATCAGTCACTTTTAATCCAAGTGTCCTCTCTGTCAGGGATGAACTTGCTCATGTACTGTAAATGGCAGCAGCAGAGGGGTCAGCCTGAAGCACAGCACAGGCAGAGGGGCTGGCAAAGATCTGCTTCCCAGAGCATTCCCATCTGCTTCCCAGAGCATTCCCAGCAGGTCGTGGCAGGTGATCCCACCCCTCTACTCAGCCCTGGTGAGGCCTCACCTGGAATCCTGTGTCCAGTTCTGGGCTCCTCAGTACAAGAGAGACATGGAGCTCCTGGAGGGGGTCCAGCAGAGGACAAGAAAGATGATTAAGGGACTGGAGCATCTCTCTTACAGGGAAAGGCTGAGGGAACCGGGCCTGTTCAGCCTCAAGAAGAGACAACTGAGAAGGGACCTCATCAAAGCCTATAAGTATCTGAAGGGAGGGTGTCAAGAGAATGGTTCCAGGCTCTTCTCAGTGGTGCTGAGCAATAGGACAAGAGGCAACGGGCAGAAACTGATGCACAGGAAGTTCCATCTGAATATGAGGAAGTGTAGGTGACCACACAGATTGTCCAGAGAGGTTGTGGAGTCTCCCTGACTGGAGATAGTCAAGAACCATCTGGATGCAATTCTGTGCAATGTGCTCTAGGGTGACCTTGCTTGAATGTTATGATTCTGCCCCTGAAGGTGGGGTGACTGAGGTTCTTGTTAAGAGATCCCTTGGGGCGGGTTAGAGGGAAATGACACTGAATGACCGGTGTGTTTATATATACATATATATATATATATATATACATATATATACACATATATATGTGTATATATGTAGGTTTTATTTTAGAACAGTTTGGTTGCAATGAAAAGGAGGTATGTAGCCGTATTGGTTATTATCTATAGAAATGCAACAATATAAAAGTATAAAGATATCACTTAAAAAAATATATATGGAAAAGAAAGAAAGAGAGGACAAGAGTAGATAGTGGAGACTTGACTGTTGGAATTTTGATGTCCATTGCTTGAAGTGATGGTCACAGTCGATCCACTGGGGGTAGGGAAAGCCCCTGAAACACAAAGATCAATGGGTTAATACACACTCAGGTTCAAGTGGTAACATCCAGGTATCTCCCCTGGGTGAGGGGGGGGAGGTAGGGAGGGTGTTTACACTCTCTGATGTAACACCGTCCTGTGGTGGAAGGCCCCAGAAATGAGTCTGGGGCCACTTTGGAGGTCTTTGATGATTTATGAGCCCTTTTAAGACATGACTGCTTTTTTTCACACCAATGTAGTTGAGCCAGTTGTGCCTTATCAGAAGGGATGAACACCTTGAGGCCTCCCTGTCAATGTCCCAACACCTCCCCTGGGGCAGGAGGGAGTTTTACACCTGAGCCAGCTGTGTAAGAGAGGACATTGGCATGAAGAAAAGCACGATCCCACCTCGCAGGATCTGGTTTTTATTGGCCTTTTCCCTTATCTAGCTCAAAACCCAGCTCATTGCTGAACAAAGGTGGGTTTGTTGTGGTCACCCTCCGGTGTTCATTTGCTGCAAGTCACATAGTAATGTGACAATAATTAGTATTCTATCTTCTGTTGGTTAAAGACTCTCACTCCTCGTGCTAACTAGTCCTCATGCTGAGTCTTTCTCTTCTCTTGGGTGGGTGGGTTTCTTGGGTTGAGGGTCTGTGAGTCGGTGGTTCCCATCACCCCCTGAGGGAATTACCTTTTACCCAGTCGGAGCTGATTCCAGCACAGTTGCTGACTTGGGTTTATTAGTTTTCTCCTTATTTTGGGAGTTCTGCTGCATGTCCTTGTGGCCCATAAATCCTGCATTCTTTGTGTCCAGTGGCATATCCTGCATCCCAAGCTTTGTTAACCTCCCCCTGGGTTGATGTCACCTCGACCCTTAGTGTTTGATTTGTCTGTCAGTGCCCCAGGAAAGCCGAGACCCTTGTGCCCAACCAGTCTGCCGGCGTCCCGTTATGGGGACCCTTCACTGAACAGTCCCACTGCATGAGGGGGCGATTTGACTGCCCTTGTCAGGGAGCTGAGCCTAAGGGAGACCCCTCAGTGGGTCTTCCCACTTTATTCCAGTGTGTTCAGGCTGCAGGTGACTGCCAGCCCAGGGGAAGGACTGACACTAACAGTTTACAGAATAACACCCTTTATTGATACAAACTGTGACAGGTTAAGGTTTGAAGATCGCTGGTGACAGTATCTGCCTGCAAAAACATGTTTAAAGCAATAAACAGACAAGCTCTAATCCCAATAAAAGTATCCAGCATGCATAGAGTATGGTTCTTACCCAATAGATGTCCCTATAGAATGAGAAGACAGGTTCCGCCCGTCAACTGATCCCAGCAGTTCTGGTGGAGTCTTCCCTAACTTTTCCTCCATTCTCAACTTACTTTTATACTAGTTATTTATGTTTAGATGGAACTTGAGTGACTTCAGTCATAAATACCTTTGTTACTGACTGGTGTAAAATTCTCCCGCTTCCCTTTTCAAGGTACAGTCAAAAAAACCAGAGGGCACACGCCCGGTTAGGGGTAGTTGTGCCTTGGAGGCGGGTAACTTTGGGAGGGAGGTGTGTGTTAATGTTACAGTTAGGCTTTAATGAACCAGGTTCATCCGAGGAGAGAGATTTCGCCACAACTGTTGGCTCAGCAGCAGGGCATCTTCTCCTATCTCCCTTGGGTGACAGGTGCTATTGAGTTCCTCTCCCCGCAGGGATTTCCACTGCTCCACCCTCCGTTCTGTCCACCTTTAGCGGGTGCTTATTGTTGTATGGGGAGTCATCGTGGAGCGTGTCGACTGTGTTCCATCCTGGGAGCAGCACCCTCATTTTACCCTGTAATTTCCGTACCGTTATAAGTTCTGTTGGGATGTGAATACAAATTCTCCGTTTCCTCTAATTTTCACCCCCAGCCACCTTCTCATCGCAGAGGTCACTGGAGCACGTCCAGCCCTAAACCTTAACCAATTCCACCAAGAAGTAATTTGTTTTTCCAACACACGGGCATCACTTAAAGCTTGCTCATTAGCAGCTCTCTGTTCCAAGGGCTAAATCCCCCTTCTCCATGAACAGGCTTGGAAAAAGCGCACGAAGACCAAACACCGGGGAACATCCTGTCTTAAGAAAAAATTTTGACACAACGCAGGTTTTGCAACAACGCGCAGGACGCCCGGACGGGTGCAGGGGGTCTCACCGCACCCCTGCAGGCTCCTTCCCAGCCCCCATTCCCGGTTCCCGGTTCCTGATTCCGGGCTCCCGGTGCCTGGCGCCCCCTGGCGGCAGCGGCGCCGCCGCGCGCAGGCCCCGCCCGCCGCGCTCTCGCGAGACCGGCGCGCGCGCGCTGCCGTGGCGTGACGCGGCGCGCGCTGAGGCCGGGAGGCTGTCGCTTCCCGGGCGCGCGCCCGTCCCGTCCCATTCCCATTCCCGTTCCCGTTCCCGACCCGTCCCGTTCCCTCCCGGGGCCCGCGATGGCGTCGGCGTCGGGAGACGTGGAGTCCTCGCTGGAGCTGAGCCTGACGGGCTCCGGGGCGCTGCCCGGCGCGCTGCCCCCCGCCCGCTCGCGCATCTTCAAGATCATCGTGATCGGCGACTCCAACGTGGGCAAGACCTGCCTCACGTTCCGCTTCTGCGCCGGCCGCTTCCCGCAGCGCACCGAGGCCACCATCGGCGTGGACTTCCGCGAGCGGGCCGTCACCATCGACGGCGAGCGCATCAAGGTACTGCGGGGCCCTCCCCGAGCCGGGCCCGGGCACGGCCCGCCCCGACAGCCCGCTCCGGGCACGGCGCCCGGCACCGCGGGGCAGGCGGCGGGAGCGGGAGGCGTGCGGGATGCGGGTGCCCGGCTCGCCCCTAGAGCCCCTGGCAGCCGCCAGGGCTGGGCGCCCGCGGGTGATAAAAGGGATGTTGAGGTGCTGGAGCGTGTCCAGAGAAGGGCAGCGAGGCTGGTGAAGGGTCTGGAGCACAAATCCTGTGAGGAGCGGCTGAGGGAGCTGGGGGTGTTCAGCCCGGAGAAGAGGAGGCTCGGGGAGGATATTATCGCTCTCTACAACTACCTGAAGGGAGGTTGTAGCCAGGTGGAGATTGGCTTCTTCTCCCAGGCAAGCAGCAATAGGAGGACAAGAGGGCATAGTCTTAAGCTGTGGAAGGGAAGGTTTATGTTGGACATTAGGAAGAAGTTCTTCATGGAAAGGGTGATTGGGCATTGGAATGGGCTGCACGGGGTGGTGGTGGAGTCACCGTCCCTGGAGGTGTTTAGGGAGAGACTGGGTATGGCACTCAGTGCCGTGGTCTAGTAGACAAGGTGGTGTTGGGTCAGAGGTTGGACTCGATGATCCCATAGGTCTTTTCCAACCTTACAGATTCTGTGATTCTCTGAGCTCTGGGCATCCCGGGCACCGTGCCCCTTGCAGGAGTTTCCAGGCCTCCTGTCACACCCCAGCTGTTTGGTGTGGTTGGGTCTTATTGGAAGTGTAGCTGCTGTGTAGGTTTCTGTGATGATGAACAATTCCTACCACAGGCCAAAACTTTGTGCGTCTTTTGTCAGGTGTTAATCAGTAATTTGGCTTTAAAACGGGCCTTTAGGTAGATCTCTTACCTCTGTTTTAGTCTGGTGTCATCAGTTTGTTGCATCACAGAAATTCTGCGTTTGTCTTTAGGCGAGGGTCGCAGTTACTCTAACCTTCAAGTTCAAGTTACATACTTGAACCTTCAAGCTGCGTAGGTGCCACTGTTACGATCACTTTGCTTTAAAAATGTTAGGAAATTGGATGTTGTTCAGGATCGAGCAATAGGGTCCAACTTTTCATTTTTAGGATTCTGTTTGCTGTATTGGTGTGGGCAAATGTGGTGCAGAACTGGACAGCGACGGGCTGGATACTTGGCTTGCATTTGTCTGTGCTTTTACTCTGATTATAGGTTTAGCTGAAGATTACTCTTGCAGAACTAAATTTAGGGGAAAATTGGATGGGAGGAAAAAAATGCTCTTTTGTCTTCTTTGTGCTGGAAAGCAAATTATAAAGGCACATGAAACACACCTAGTCTGCCTGGTAGATAGAGAAATGCTGGTGGTGATCCTGACAGTCATTTGCAGGTCAGTCTTCTAAGGGCTTACAAATGCAGTTTGTTTACCAGCAGGAACAGGTTTTAAACAGAATCCCCTGCACAAGTCTGCTTCTGTATAAGGGTTTGTTTCCATGACCAAAGTTCAGTTGTGTAGAAAAAGGAAGTAACAGTAGTCCTGGTGTTTATAATTACAGCTTTCAGTCATGTAGCTGAAAGCTATAGTTTTTCCTTGCTTACTTACTGACTGAATAAATTGTGGAGTGCATACAAGAGTAGAAAAGCCAGTTTGCTTTCCTACTCTTGTGCAGTTCTTTACCTCATATCCTTTTTTAACTAAAAAATAAAGATGAATAGGAGTCTTTGTTTTCCTTTAGAAAACCACTGACTAGAACTTTTTTGACAGCTGAAATTCTGTACTCCCATGTCTGTTGCTGTCCGTGACAGAGGAGAGAAACTCCCGAGGGATATTGTCTTGTCTTGTCAGCACCATCTTATTGACTGGCATTGTCATCGCCTCTGCCTGGCCTTTGTTGGAGAGAAGTGAAAAAGAACATGGCCTAATCCCCAGCTCTGAGGTGCTTCAGACAGGTTATCGTGCCATTTTGTTGCACATGTTGTGGTGGGTTGTTTTTCTGCACTCTTGAGAGAATTTACCTGCAGAATACACCACGTCTCGTTGAGGGGGGCGGAGACCTGAGGGAGGCTCTTCTGAGACATGTTCTTTTGTGGAAGTTCTGTTTGAGCTTTGAAGGAATAAACTCTGTCATTGTGGCCAGGACTCTAGCTCTTAGTGGGATGCTGAGTGTTGTCAAGTTTGAACCAATTTTTGGTTTTCTGGCACCTCCTCTCACTCGTCTTCACCTTTCTCACATGTGGCAGTGAGCTCCAGCAGTGCCTGTTGAACCAGGAGAGAGAAGCTTCAATGAACTGAGTTACTGTGGTCCGTGCTGTGCCCCGAAGGGAATTTTTCCTCTTACACTGAAGGAGATTATAAAGTAATGTCTTCTTTTCTCCCTTTGCCCTTCCCCCAGCCAGCTGGATGGTCTTCCTTGTGCTGCTACAGCACTGAGCGTTTCCCTCACAGCTGGAGAAATGCTGTGTCATTGGCAGGAACACAAGCACAGTTCTTCTCGTCCGGGGGTCTCCCATACAGCAGTTGTGCAGAATTCCAGGACATAGGTACACGTGTATTCCTTCATAGCTTTTACAGCAGGATAACAGCTTCATATGAAACACTGACACCTAAATGTGATGAGTAAATTAAAGCTCTCAACAAATGAATTTTTTGCATTCTGAATTTTCCTCTCCCTCAATTGATCTAAGCGTTGAAAACTGATGAAAACAATGATGTCACTCTTCACTGACCTACATTAAAAGAGCAAAGGATGCAAATGAAATTCAGGGAAGAAAGTCTGAACATCGTGTTCTGTACCTTTGAGCTATTCCAAGTTTTTTTGCCCAAATCTTTTAAAAGGAGACATAGTTTACCATTTTATCTTTATCAAAGGCCAGTTATGTTTTTAGCAGTGTGTTACAAACCATGCATGCTAAATGAGTCCTTGTTTAGAAAACAGCCTTTCTGGATCCACAAGAAGGATTCAGAAGGTGGGAGGTGATAGCTGAGTCAATATATTTAATAGATATTACGCCATTTGTCTCCCCTAAAGTGATTCTGTACACAGTTTTATTAACTGAATTATGCTGTTAAACCAAATCTTCAAAATACACATTTTAAAGGGCTGCTACAAAAAAATATGCTCCCTTGAAGATGAATGGTCTTGGACTAATAATGAAACAGTAGCCTTACTGTTACTTCATCAGTGCACATCTCTCAATGTGAATGTTTTCAGTCCTGTTTTTTCAGTGGAGAAAATACTTGGGGGGAGGGGCAGAAATAGAACTTGAGGAATAGTGTCCTCAAGTTCACCTGGAAAGAGGAGAAAAGAAACTTCCTAAGTGTGAAGTTTTCAATATTGGGAAAGGATTTTCCTCTCAGTGCAAACTACTCCTTGCCAGGAATATTAACATTTTTAATTTGCACCCTTCAAGCTTGAAAGCTGCATGTAAATAAAATTTAGGAGGAACTGTAGTTTAAGCTTACCTTGGAAGATATGTAAAACTTTAATTTAATTTCCCCTTCTTTACCCAAGGCTGGCAATACACTTGGGGAACTTGCTTGACTGAAGCATGACTGATTTCTGCTCTGTGAATGAGCTGGGGAGAGAATTGTAAGCTCACAGCTGCCTGTGGAAATGAGCTCCCTCTTTAAATTAATTTGATACAGCATTTTCCAAGATTTATCTGTAGTCATTCTTTAACATTATGTTGTCTGAACACAGGACTGCTTCAATCTGTGCTTCTTTCTTCTCTCTTTAATTTGTCACATTCATGAACATTTTCTGTGCAAGTGCAGAGAACTAGAAGTATCTCTCACCTGGGTATGTTACTGAATCTTACCCAAGCTTTGGAGCCTGTGTTTAATCTGATTGTCTGAACTCTCTTAACAGACGATGGAGATGGAGCCAATTGTGTGTAGAGTGTAATACCATTGGCAAAAAGCAGGTTTTTACTCTAAAATGAGACAGATTGCTGCTGATTATCATTTGGCTTGTTTTTTTTAATAATCTTAAGGACCCTTTTAGAAGCTGCACATGGGTCTTTTTAAGTCTGTGGATCAGAAGCTGCAGAGAACTGGACTGGGCTGCAGAAGCCAAGCTGTTCCGATGTTTTCATGTAAATCCTCAGTTCCCCTGAGGCAGCCAGTAACTGCCTTTTCCAACTGCTCTGGTCTGAGTTTTTCTCGAGGATGGGTGGCTGGGGCTGAACATAACATTGCAGGAAAAGTCACACCATCTGAAACATGTTTTTCCTTCAGTCTGTCACACGTGTGATTCGTAACATCCTGTGATTGACTCGTGTATCTGGATCGTCATCTGTTTTAATACTTTCCAACCTGATGAACCCTGTGCTTAAAGGAAAAGTCTTCGTTGGTAGTCACTGTTATCAAGACTTTGCATCTGCTTCTGTTGGGTTTCACCCTATTTTTACTGTTTCAGAACAATTTTATGTGATACTGTAATCCTTCTCTCTCTCAGTGATGCATCTTAAATTCTTGCTGTCAGCAGATTTTCTTGGCACTTGGACTTCCTTTTTTTTTAATATAAAAAGACACTGGTAAAAGTGGTAAACAAGGCAACTTTCAGGACACTTGCAATTTCTAAATAAGAAGTTTTACTGAAACATTTGGATCAAAGGAATGCAGAACTGTGGTAATGGGAGAACAATTTCAACGATTACATAGCAGCTGTAACTTTCATGAGGACAGACTGAATTTTAAATTTACCTTCATTGTCTACAGAACATTTAATATTCCTTGAGTTCTGAGTCTCAAGAAGAACTCAGCTTTCATACCCAGGGAGGGTATGCTCAAAAGCCTGAATACTAATCAATCTGCCCCAGCCATCAGGGATCAGCTGTGCATGACAGACGGGAAGCCAGGACTCAGCTTTTTCCTAAGAAATGGGAATTGCCTTTCAGATGTGTGTGATAGAGCCACACCCTAGTATTGGAAACAATAGTCACATGTTAAGCTAACATGCAAAGGTTTATGCATTATTTTCTTTGGGTTTTTTTTCCTTTTATGCATATTTTGATACTACAAACCACAGCGTGGTCCCAGTTTAGGCATTAAATAAGCTGAAGTTAGATGTTCTTCGTGGGAGGGTTTTATTCCAGTGGATACACTGCAGGGACAGATTTCTTCGTCCTGTTTTTGGTGGTGGTGGTGGTGTTATCAAGCATGGCTTGATTTCTTCCTACTTTTATGTAATACCACAATAGACGGCGAACAAAACTTTGGGGAAGATGACATTATTTTTGGCAATAACAAAAATCGTGTCAGCTGAGGGTTGTACTGTGAGGTAACGTGTATTTTGTGTTACTTTCAAATGAAAGTGCTATTGCCAAGATTTCAGCATTTGTTTCTATAAAAATCCTAAAAAGTACAGTCTCCAACAAACCTTCAGAAATTTGTATTTTTTATCAAGTTGTTCCTGGCCTCATTCGTGAGCATCTTTGAAAGCCAAAGTTTCAGAAATTGTGTAAATTTTTTTTTCAGCACAAACTTTTCAGTATGATTAATTCAGAAGAGTAGACTTCTGTGATCATGTAACTCCCCTGGCTACAGGTAAGTTTGTACTGTTTTCCAACATGAGTAGTAAACCACGTTTTTCTCCCACTGTCTTTCCCTTTCCAGATACAGCTGTGGGATACTGCAGGCCAGGAGCGCTTCAGGAAGAGCATGGTGCAGCACTACTACAGGAATGTACACGCTGTGGTGTTCGTGTATGACATGACAAACATTGCCAGTTTCCACAGTCTGCCCTCATGGATAGAGGAGTGCAAACAACACCTTCTTGCCAACGATATCCCACGGATTCTGGTTGGAAATAAGTGTGACCTGAGAAGTGCCATTCAGGTGCCCACGGACCTGGCGCAGAAGTTTGCTGATACCCACAGCATGCCCTTGTTTGAGACCTCTGCCAAGAACCCCAATGACAATGACCACGTGGAGGCCATATTCATGACACTGGCTCACAAGCTTAAAAGTCACAAGCCATTAATGCTTAGTCAACCCCCAGATCGTGACGAGATACATATAAAGCCTGAACCAAAACCTGCCACGTCCTGCTGGTGTTAGATCCCACTGTCACTGCCTGTCACCTTGTCTTGTTTGCAAGTGCTTCAGAATTATGATCTTGGCAAAGTTCCAGGTTTTGGTAGCAATTATAGCAAATCCCTTTGGCACTTTAATGTGGTTTTCTGTTTTTTGGTTGTTTGTTTTTTTTCCCCTGGTGTAGATGTGCCCATCTCATGCTCTTGCACTTTGTAATTGTACTTTCTGAATTACCGAAGTTTCACTATAAATATATGGGAACGTAAACTTTCATGTGAAGTTTTGACAGAGCAATTCTGCTTGAGCTCTTGCTGCCTGAGGTTGTTTTTCATCACTTGTGGTAAGGTTATAAAATAGTAGGCCAGTTTACTAACATTTTTGGTTGCTACTTGCATTGAAATAATGTAGGAGAAAGAGAGTTTCTTGACAGCCAGGGAGCTTGGGTTTTGGGTCAGCAAGTGGGGAGATTTTTGGCAGATGAAGGAATATTTGGTGACTGCTAGCAAATTAGTAAGCAGGTACCTTTTTATTATAAAAACAAAAACCAGGACTGTCAAAGTTTGGGCTGTCAGTGTAGGTGCAAACTGCTGGTGTTTGGCCTGTCATTCCACTGTGAACTTTGTTTCTTCATGGCAGTGGTAAGGGAATTGACCAGCTTATCCCTACCTCTAGACTATTATTTGATACTTAAAACTTCATTAATTTTTTATATTTAGCATGTGGTACTAAACTATGCATTGCCTCTTATGGAAAGTACTGTAGCACAGGATTTGGGGTAAATTTGGGGTCTTAACTGTCCATAACTTCTCTGACCTTACTAAAACTTCAATGAGGACATATTTCTAAAGGTGCTGTATTTGAGTGGAGTGTCCCAGGGTAAGTAAAAACACTTAAGTAAATGAAAGATTTCGTGAAATTGGCAAAAGCATATTGGTTTTTAAAGATGGGGGTTTGGAGGATTTTAGTGACAATGAGTGCTTCTCAAATATCTTGAGAAACCAACTTGATAACATATTTCAGGGAAGGGAACGCCTAGGATGGAATGTTAGGAATATGGGACTTGCTTAAAATATTTCTGAATCCAAACTAGAGTAGGTTTTGAAACATGCAGTAAATCTACCAAGTACATCATCTGTTACAGATTTTTGAGCTAAAACCTGCTTGTAATGTCGTGGCTGTATGTGGGGCATCCTTGGCATTGCTAGTGTGAGTTAGTAGGGGTCAGATGAGGGAAATCACTGCTCTAGAACCATCTTCTTCTGTGTCCTAGTAGTTCCAGCTGCTTTTTTTTCACTTCTGTCGAAGGTCAAGTTTCATAATAAGGTCGAGTTTCATAATAAAAATGGTGCTAAGTTGCACATAATTGCATAAAGCAAAATGTAAGCCATAGAATGCCATCTATGACTTCATTCACATGCCATGTCAAACAATGTCTTGTGACTTAGTTTTTGAAGGAGTTGAAATGTAAATGAAGGGGTTTTTTGTTTGTTTGTTTGTTTGTTTTAATTGTTATTATTGGCAATGTGTAGCAGGTGTTGCTGACTGGAAACTAAATGGAAGGGCCAGTTCAGAAGCTGCCACCCTAGTGATCACATTGGAAACAAATCATTGAAACAAGATAACTAGTATTATGTAAACTATTGCAGTTGCTAAGATGTAATTCCACTGCAACTTAAACCGACAAAATAAAAATGCATTGACTTTTTTCTCGATTTAGAAAGAGCATTCGATTTGGTCTAATACAGCGAAGATGTTTAAAAATAATCTAAACAAAAGGTTATACTATAAAGCTGCTTCAACTGTGACAGTATTTTTGCTTAGGAAACACTTGTAAAAGGGAGCTTTTGTATTCACTCTGAACCTTACTAGAATTTACAGTCCTTTCAGAAACAATCACCTTTTTAACACTAGTGTACTTACTGTTTTTTTAAGAAAAGGATTGATCTTAAATTTATCTGTGTACTATTGTAAATAAATATGGTTTACAGTCCTATTGGACAGCTTGTTTTTCACTCATGTCCTTAATCCTTTTTCTCAGAAGGATCCATCTTAATTATTTGTTTACCAAGGAGGTTGACAAGTGTGGGGGTTTTTTTTGCTTATTGGTTTGTGTTTGGGTTTTTTTCCTTTTTTAATAAAATAACCCCAGAATTTCAAAGTCAGTCGATCAGGTTGGGGGTTGAGGTAAGGAAATGATGTAGCTACAGTGTTACTGTTAAATTTGCATTCCTGTTAAGCTTTATTTGAGTTGTCACAGCCTGTAAATAAAGGCCCTCATGTCATGAAAATTGTGTGGAAATGGTGTTCAGGTATGTAATTTCATGTTCAGCACAAAGCATGTTTTAATGGTTTTGCCATAAAAGTAACGTGGTCAGTAATGCAGGATTCAGTATTGCTTCCTGGCTTTCAGTGGTGACATTCTGCCCCCAAAATGGATGTCAAAAATACTGAATACTTTGTATGTGTATTTTCACTTTAACCAAATTGTAAAGTCGGGTTATTTTCTATGTGTTGGGGGAGGGCAAGACACAATTCCAGAAACCTAATAAACTGTCTTTGCCACAAACTGTTATCACTTGTTTTCAGTAATTACACAAGGAATGATGATCTAATTTCTTATGGTTAAAAAAAGGCTATGAGGGAGGAAAAAGAGTTTCTAGTTTCTGTATGTGTGGGTGACAGTTCTGTACAAGACTGCCACCACACTTGGACTGCTGTCAGTGCTTCCTTGTGATGGCTCCGGGTGGATCTGAGGCATCTGAGGCACCCACCTGAGGATTCAGAAGTATGTTTGGGATTTATTTCAGATTCCAGAAGAATGGGAAGTGATGCAACGGTTACAAAATTAGGAATTACTGACCTTTGAACGTATGTCAAGAGCCTAATGAATCTTCTCCGTTACTCTTCTAGTCTCGTCGTGTTCAGAAATAAAAGCTCGGAAGTTCCTTGTTATCTCTTTGTTGATCTATCTTGATGGTTTGCCGTGTGAGTTTGGACCTTGGGAGTGACCAGAAGGGACCTTGGTAAAAGAAAGCTGCCCAGGGAGGAAGCAGTTTGCAACTTGGGGAGGGCGAGAGGTCGAGATACAGGCTCTGGATGTGTCCTCGTACTCATGCACATACCTGCTGTGCATTAGGGTTTCGTGGGGTTTCTAATGTCCCATGTCTTCATCGTGATCAAGATGCTAAGAAGCATCAAAATAAATCCATGAGGGTTTTATGTGTACTGTAATCTCCCCAAAGCAAAAAGTCATTAAAGATGAAACAGTTCCACCTTTGTCGTTGGTTTTTTTCATCTTCATAAGTCAATAGTTTTAAAAACCAGCATTCCAGATGTAGTGAAAATAGGTGAGGACCCCTAGTGAAAGTGATATTTTTCTCTTTAATTTCAGCTCTAAAATACAGCCTAATGATCTAAAACACAAGTTAAGCTCTGACTTTTATGGAAGGGTGTACTGTGGGACTTCATACAAGAGTTTAGGCAGAGGCAGCTCTGCTGCTCCCTGTGACCTTCACCACCCTCGTCTGTGCCTCACCAGTGCTCTCCCTCCTGGAATCAGGAAAATGGGAAAGCAGAAAAAAGTGACTGTTTTCCCTCAAATATGGCAGCTTTGCATGAAGACAAAACTGATCAGCGATTATGGCTTTGATCACCCTGCAGCCGAAAATGCCTGGTTTTGTCTTTGTCTCCCATAACATTTGATCATGTGCTGATCATACTCTTCTTTGTCTCCCATAACATTTGATCATGTGCTGATCATACTCTTGTTACCTGGTTCGTCCTGCATGACGCAGTAGAAGTGCCATCTTTAAACTGTAGCCCTGCACCAGCGTTCGTTCCCCCTGGGTGATCATCTGCTGACTTCCTGCTTTTATAAATTCTCAGAAGTTCATGTTCCTTGTTCCCTCTGTGAGTATTTTCACTTTCACCAGAACGTATAGTTCCAATGGGCTATTATTTTCCAAAGTCCTACTTTTCAAGGTCATTGACTGATGTTTTACTAAACAATCTGCAATTCCCAGATAAAAAGGAGAGCCCTGGGTCATTTTAAAGCCACAGTAATGTTATTTTTAAAATGGCAGCCTGGTTTTTTGTGCAAATCAATGCAACACCAACATGTAATCTTAAATCTAAAGTTGTAAGTAACGTTAGAAACTCATTATCCTATGGCTCACAAAAAACCTCCACTGTTTTTAGGATGAAGGACTTTTTAAAATTCGTCAGTTGACCCTGAGTGCCCAAAGGAGGCCTCTCATTCACCCAGCTGAAGGGCTGGGAAGAGACACAGAGAGAGGAGGAATGGCTGCTGGATTCCAGTGATGTCCTGGGGCTCCCTGGGCTCTGCACAGCCTCCCAGCTGAAAAACAGGCATGTCAGAGACTGATATGTATTAAAGTACTTCCTGAAGGCAGCTCCTTGTAGTTCAGGAAGCTATTTCCAGATCCCAGAGCTGCTAGTCACTCAGGGACACTCCATGAGGTGCTCAGTCCTGTTCCACATGGGTATTATGGACATGTTTTGTTTTCTGCCTTTGCTGAGTCACCACTGTGATTCAGGAATGATAGAATCCTTAGCTAATCATTTGAAATTATTGGAAAGCAAATTTCCCAGCAATACCAATGACCATTAAAAAAAAAATCAAAACAAAAACCCCAACAAAATGTAATCCTCTCCCCAGCCTGCATTTAACAAATGTGCTGTGCTTACTAGGAGGAAATTCCTCACTGTGAGGGCAGTGAGGCACTGGCATAGGTTGCCCAGAGAAGTTGTGGATGCCCCATCCCTGGAATTGTTCAAGGCCAGGCTGGATGGAACTCTGAACAACCTGGTCTAGTGAAAAATGTTCCTGCCCACAGCAGGGAGGTTGGAACTAGACAATTTTTAAGGTCCCTTCCAACCCAAATCAGGCTATGATTTATGACTCCCCCTCTCTCCCTCCTTGTTGTTGTTTTGGGATAGTAGAGCTTGCAACTCACTTTGCCCTCAGGTGTAGGAGAGTTGGCATTGCCAGTATCAAACATTCAAAAGGAAGCAGCCTATTCTCTCTTCCCCAAAATTAAGATTGGCTTTGAAATAAATGGGCGATACTAAAAAAAAAAGTAAGGTGAGGGGGCATGTGCTTTGGATTCCTGTCTGCTTTCATCTTATTTTGAAACCTGCAGGGTACACTTGGATCTTACAGTCTGTGTTTCCATTAAGAGATGGAGTTTGAAAACAGACTTTGCTCACACATTTGAAAATAACAACAGCAACCCCACAAAAATCTTCAGGTAGTTACTTGCTCCCAGGGAATCAAGGACAAGCAACTATATTTCACAACACCAAAGAGCTCAAGGGCCCTCTCCTTTTATCTGCCCGTCATAATCCATCTTTCTGTACAGTCAGCTCACGTCAGGTGCTTGTTTAAAACAAGTAACTCTCTTTATAGCACAGCAAAGAGCTTGCAGTGCAAGCTGACAGCAGCAACCCTGCCTCTGTGTTTGAGACCAAGAGCAGCACATCATATAATCAGATCTTCATTTCAGAAAATAATGGTGCATGTTTTTTCTTTCTACTAATATTAATATTTTTCAATAGGAAGTTAAGAGTGCCAAAGAGCACTGTCTTTCTAACAGTTTATAAGCACCTTTTGAAATAAATTTTCTGCTTCAGATGTCATCAGCCCCCTGAAAAACAGTGGAGTGTTGCACAGATGTAGCTGTGAGAATGGAAAATCCCAGCGGTAAAATCACAATAGCGTGGACCTTGTGTGATTACAGCCTCCATTTTTCATACACACATGTGCATTCACAAACACACACAGAGATGTATTTAAATAAACAGGAAGAAGCAACAAGTGTGAATGTGAGCATATGAAGAGTCATAAGACCCTGATCTTAGCTCAGTACTTCCTTTTTTATTATTATTTTTTGTACTGTTTGCACTGCTCCTTTGGAAAGGTCACAGCCAGAAAAGACTCCGGCATGAGGCAATATGCTAAACTCCCTCTTAATGAAAATCTTTGGTTATTTGCTTTTAAAAACAGCATTCTGGGCATCTAAATCTCAGGTCATAGAGCAGAGGCTGTGTTTGTAAAAACATTTCTCCCTTGCTGTGGCCAGTGGCCTATCTGAGTCTTGGCTTAGTGCTACAAAGTGAAGCTGTCAGAAGAGGAGTTCAAGCAAAATGCTGTCTTTTAACACTGCAGTTAAACTGGAAGTCCTGGCCATGGGATGATGGGACTGCTAGGATTTTCTGAAGGTTTAAGAAAAAAAAACCTATACGTGTTCATGGAAGAGAATTTCTTTTTGCATGTGGCTAAAAGAGTAGGAGGAGGGCTCCAGGCTACAAATGGAGTTGGTGGAGTAGAGGAATGTGTGTTATATGCTGAGCCTGCGCTTGCACTTCTGGGGCTGTTGCAGAAGGTGAGGTACAGGTTCTTGTTCTTGGCTGCTGTTACATAAAAGCCTGGTCATTCCACCCTTCATGCCCACTCTTGCCCAAGAAAACGCTTTGGAATGTTCAGTGGGCTTGAGGTGCTCCTTGTCCTTCATAATCCCCTGTCCCTTGGTGCTTCCTTTAGTTAAGGAAGAACACACAACAAGAAAAAGATTAAACTGACCCTAAAATACACGCAACAGCTTTTCCATTGACTTCAAGATATTTTTAATGCACTCACAAATCAGAAGCAGTGAAGGGCTCCTGGCTTCAGCAACTAAAAATTCAGCTGCATATTAAAAAAAAAGGGCATGTGCTATCCAGAGGGGGTTTCCAGGTTCCTGTGCATCCTCATTACTACCTTGAAGTACTAACTCCCATACTGAGCTAATATCTGAGTCACTGTGATGCTGCTGTTGAAAGCACAAGGTTGGCAGCCCTTGCCTTTGGCTTCCAAGGCTTACAGAGGTTGTGCTTTTGTCAAATTGCATCTGAAGTGAAATAATCAATTTCAATAGTTTTGCCTGTCATGAAATAGGTATATTTCATTTTTATGCATGGTGATAGGAGATGATAAATAAAGATATATAACATATATTCTCTCTGTATATATATAAAATGATGACCAGAAAACGTATATTCACATGCATGTATTTTTGGCCATCATAGTTATGCATACTTTGGCATCATAATGCAGCACTTGGAAGACTGTTTTTGTGACAGCAGTGAGGTGCCTGTGTGGTACGTGACACAGGTGGGAGTCCAGCAATAGCATCTGCTTCAAAGCTCCAGCTCTTGGGCTTTGTAAGAGAAGAGCTGTTGGATGTAGCAAAAATTTAGGTCAATCAGGGTTGGGAGGCTGCCTGCATCAGACAAAATAAGAGACACAGAAGCAACTGCTGTGAGATGCCCTGAGGGCAAAGAATTTGGAAAGTGAAAACTCCAGCCATCATCCTAAGTCATGGTTACTGAGTGGGGGGCAAGGGCTTTAGCAATATTTGCATGTACTGTTTCAGTATAAACACTATATACACAGCAACTAATATTGACTAAAGAAGTAAGTGGTGAGTGTATTTAGAAACAAGTAGTGGACAGAAGCCAGAAGATGAAACAAGAATTATAAACCACAGTAATTTTCTTTTAAATTAA